GAACTTATATCCATTATAAACAAAGGATATACTGAAGGAGCATGTCAATAATATTAAAAAGGGGTATAAGGACCACTCCTTGTCACATCATTACAAGATCCATCATAATAAGGATCCCTCGTCACTCAGATTTATGGGCATAGGCATTGTAAATCCCATTGGCGAGGAACAAATAGAAAGCGAGCAGTGTCGCAGCTCGAATCGAGGTGGATCTACGAACTAGGCTCTTTATACCCCAGGGGATTGAATATAGATTTCGATCTAAATTGTTTTTTGGACAACAGATAGTATAAGGAGGACGTATACCAGTGTTTGTTCTTCTCTGTTTCATACATGTTTTTTTAACACATTCTTTTATTCGAGTGTTATAGGAATAATCAATTATTGTGAAAAAAATCACATATATGACATCACCATATATATTAAGTGACTTTTGGCGTTAATATATATTCCTCGTCATCGCTCTTATTGCTTTTTATTGTGCTTTATTGTTAATGACCGTTTCAGCATTCTGCATCATGTGTTTTTATGAGTTTTTGTATTTTATTTTATATTTCTAACTGATATTTTAGGTCCTGACCATATATTTCCATATATATATTTATATACATTCCTTGTAAATTCAAATTTTATGTATATTTTGTATTTTTTATCTGACCATAAACTTTGCGTGCTATTTATATTTACATACTTATCGGGAACCATTAAGTTATATATTCATATTATCTACAATGCTAAACATGATCCTATCCTGTTTTGAATTTATATATAACAGGATAGGTTTCGCATACTAGTATATGATCACAAATATATTATAATCAACTCCCATGTCTTTAAAATTAAAAATATCTTTTAAAATGTAAAAAAATTTTTATGTGTCAGATGAATCTTTATCATGGTTTGCAGGGGAGACTTGTTTCCCCCCTGCGCCACAGGACGTGGCCGCACAACCTGGATCGATTAATTAAGTTGTGCCTCACCATCTCCTAATACTGCCAATAAGTCACTGTTGGTGACTCTCTTAGATTATTGCAACCGCGATCAAAATGGCGCCGATTTTATCCGGTAAGATGGCGCCATAGCCGACAAAATGGCGGGCGCATTAAGCAGGATTGTCATTCACAAATATAAATAGCACCTAAGTGGATGTCCTGCTTAAAGCCCTTATCCCTATGAATACGTGCATCACACGAAATGCGTCGGGGGGCAGCAGCAACAGGACATCTAACCACCGCTGGTGGACACCCTGGAATGTGGTCTTCTTTTGCAAATCTTTTTATGTACCCCACACCAACCAACCCTGGGTACCTTAACTCTGTCTCTCATTGGGCACTCTGTGTGAGTGCTATCATTCGCAGTGCCCATCTGGAGGAACCATGACCCTGGTGGTGATACCTGGTAGCAGTTTCTGGTGACCTTGCCTCTGTGGAACCGGGATGGTGATCTGTGGGTAACCCGATCCGAGATTTGATGACCGATCTATGGCCTGGTGACGCAGGATTATATATTGCGTATTTTAAACGCACATCTGGTGAGTGCGTTTTTCACCTATTTGTGTGGTTTGCACCTATTATCACACCTTGGATCAGGACGTCCACTCACCTGGAATTAGGATCTCTCTATGATCCGCACCATCATATTGAACTTTTTAATATTTATTGATCACCATCTGAGTGACATCACGCATGCGCATAAGTTTGCACTAGTATATTGTGTGTATTAATCGTGTATTATTATTTAGCGCTGCACCATCTTATCTGAATATACATGTAGTTGAGTTTTTAGTAGCATTTGGGAAATTTAGTGTTTTTATCAGCAGTTTTAATCTCTTGCCCTCCAGAGGATTTACCCACCTTCCTGACCAGGCCATTTTTTTTTGCGATATGGTGCTGCACTACTTTAAATGATAATTGTAACGTCATGCAACGCTGTACATAAATGAAATTTATGTCATTTTATTTCCACAAATAGAGCTTTCTTTCTGTGGTATTTCATCACTTCTGTGGTTTTTATTTTTTGCGCTATAAAAAAAAAAAAACCCGACAATTTTGGAAAACACAAATATTTTTGACTTTTTAACTATAAAACATATCCAACGAAAAATTTTAAACATCAAATTTCTTCATAAATTTAGGCCAAAATGTATTCTGCTACATGTCTTTGCTAAAAAAAAAATCCCAAAATGTGTAAATTAATTGGTTTATGTGAAAGTTATATTGTCTACAAATGACAGTATATATACTTGAATTTTTATTTGTAATTTTTTTTATACTAGTAATGACGGCGATCAGCAACTTATAGCGGGACTGCAGCGGGCATTCTGACACTGGGTGGCAGTGACACTAAAACAGTGATCAGTGCTAATAAAAAGCACTGACACTGTACTAATGACACTGGGCAGGAAAAGGTTAACATCTGGGGCGATTAAAGGGTTAACAGTGTGTGGTGTGTGTTTTACTGTGTGCACTGCGTTGTGTTTTACTAGGGAGGCATGCTGTTTTTGTCTCTCTCTGCTGTGCAGAGAGACACAAAGCAGCATATCCATGCTGACAGGAGAGAGTCCTTTGTTGTTTATACACAGGTCTCTGTCAGCTTTGCCTGACGATCGCCGAGTGCCATCCAGGAATCGCCGGGTGAGACTGGTGATTGACATATCTAGCCCTAATAGCAACGTGCTCGCTCCCTACCTGGAAATGCAAATCATGTGTATATACGTGATTTTGCACAGCCCTGATGCTCTTCAGAAGTGCTTCTTCTATAGGGAGGAGGGGCAAGTGGTTAAAGTACATGAAGAAACAAACAAAAAAAAGCTCAAAAAGCTGTTAAGAGCGTTTTAGAAGCATTCAGCATTTTTTTTCTGCTGGAAAAACGCTCCAAAAAATTCTACAAAAACATTTTTTTTTTCTTCTAGGTGTCCATACACACTATATTTATATCCCCTCCCTCTTAGATTGTAAGCTCCGAGGAGCAGGACCCTCCTAACCCTCTTGTATTGAACTGTATTATTGCTGTATTGTCTCCCTTTATATTGTAAAGCGCTGAGCAAACTGTTGGCGCTATATAAATCCTTTATAACAATAACAATAATTTTATGCTAGAAGTGTTTTTCAAGCTTCAGCGTTTAGGAGCAGAAAAAAATGTTTTTTTATGGGGTTTTGGGAGCATTTTTCCAGCTGTAACAAGAAAAAAACTCCAAACAACGCTGAATGTTCCTAAATGCTACTACCAAAACACTTCTAACAGCTTTTTGGGTTTTTTTTCCCCCTAGATGCTTAGAAAAATGCTAGTGTGCATGGAGCCTAAAGAAGTGGCAGCACCTAAAAAAGTCTTATAGTTTCCTTCTGTTGGGATCAATATGCAAGCAGCAGAACCTGTTGCCACCCCTCCCTCTCCTAGTTTCCTGGCTGCAGTAAGAAGATAAAAGCAGGCTGATGTTAACAGTCAGGTACTTAAAATCACCACAGATGGCTTGAATTTTGGGAGAAACTTGAGCAAAACTTGTGGCCTTGCAAGCATAGATTCAAAAAACCACTGAGCTTCATGAAGAATTACCAGCCGAACAGTGACTGCATCCCATCAGACTATTGCTGGCTGTATGAGTTCAATAGCCAGCAGTGGAGATTTCTCCATCCACTCGGTTAGTGTGGATAGGGTAACAGATTGCACTTGAGGAACTCAAATAATAATGGCACCCTTTACAATAGCTGCTTTTAAAATACAATTATGATTTATAAAAGAATTTTTACTGTATATCTACTCTATTTTTTTTAAAACCTGCCTGATGTCCAGTTTTAAACCATTCAGAGATAAATGTCAAGCTCCTTCCTAATCAAGAAGAATAAAATGAGTGTTAGGGATACATTTAAAAAGCAGTTTTAAAAAGAGAGAAAGTGCTGAAATCAAATAGAACGATGAACACTTCATTTTCTTGCAATGATAAGCAGCTAATATGAAGTTCAATATGCAATAACTAGCTTTCTATTTGTCAGTGTCCACCCCTACTAATGTAGTAATAGGCATATGAAGTAAAGAGCTGTTTACCATATGTGCTTTTTGGTAGTGGATACACTGTTTAGAAGGAGGAATAACCCTTCATAAAGTAGTGGGCCTGCAGCAAGTAATAAAACCCGTTTCTGCTTCTGTGACATCTGAACAACATAACAACCAATAGCTGCAAGACAAGAAAATCCAATGAAGTGCTGAATCGTGCCGGCAGCTTTACAGACACCATTAGGACTTCGCAACATATAAAACAGTTTTTTTCAGCTATAACAATCAGGCTGCAGGAGATACAACAGGGTAATGGGTTTTTGCTGTCACTAAGCTGAGAGAAGATGAAAAGCTCCCCTGGAGATATGAGGCTCTGTCTGTCTGTGGAGCCACAGTAGGACTAGTATGGCCTGAAGCTACAACCTGCACTAGATATGTAGAAGTAAACACACAGCTGTACAGGGATCCAGAGCTTGGCAATGATTCCTTTAAAAGGATCACATGACCTCAGATCCACACTGCTCTGATATACAAAGTTTTGCCAACTCTGCAGCTCACTTAGGAGGAATACAGCAAAGTAAAAACAGGGCTCCTTTTCTAACATCACTAGTGCACAGCATCCATTCATCAATATACGTACCAAAATGCTCTAGCAGCTAAACTTTACTTCGCTGACTTAGGTGGAGACTTTTATTCCCAAACTGTGATGGCATTTGTACCCAACCTCCCCTCTTTTTTTGTGCACTTTTCCTACTTGACCTCAAGTTTTCACCCAAGGTATCTCAGTGGGTGGATAATATTCATTTAGGAGTAGCCTAATTTCCATACTGATACTATCAATCCTTTAGTTCTACACATTCTGAAGACTTAAGAACTTCCTCCGATATGGCAGCAAACCAACCAAACTCCTTTATGAACTTCATTGAGCTGGCTTTGTTTTATTTACCAGCTAAGGAATGTTACCTCTGCACAAAAACCAGCTAACGTTAATCATTTCACAATTCTTTTACCTTTTCTCTTCTTGTGAGAGTGGGAATGCTTAGACTTCTTTCTACAAGGTTCTCCTGTATCTTCTGAAGCCTTCTTTTTCTTAGCCTTTGGCTGGACCTCTCTTCTCCTGTGAGGCAAATAATGAGATAACGATGACACAAAAATTTTCCTTAAAAAATTAGCCTACTGCTAAACTAGGTATAACGTGTAACAGGGATAGCAACACAATGTCAAGGAACTGCTTGAGTTCAACCAGGAAGGTGTAAGGCAACACTAGAGATCTTCAGGGCTAATCCACATTTCTGTGCTATAAAAGGTTTGAGTTCCTTTTAATGACACTGGAGCAGTCTTCTAACATTGCAACAAAAGCTGAGGTGTCTGGGTGTGATGGGCAGCAGCTTCACCACTGCTCCAGTTTATAATCAGTCTGAAAGTGGTTACAATGATTACACTTGTGCACCAAGTCGGCTTTGGAAATTTTACACTAAAAAAAACAAAAAGCAAAAAAAAAAAAAAGCAAAAAAAAAAAAAAAACAAATACACCACCAATAAAACTTGTATTCTCAAGCAGTTTTACAGTGAACAAAGCTAAACATTAATGGTATGTTCAGCAAACCTGCTTGCCTATGATATTAAAAATTTGCCATCCAATCCCCCTGGAAATCTCCTAGAACAACCTGGATTACAACTTGTCATTGCCTCAGTGACAATTTCTTCTCTAAGTAACCGCTGACTGAAAGTTCTTTCATACTTTCGGCCAGTATAGCAGCAGTCAGATTCTAGGGGACCACCATCTAGCAGACACGTAAGTATTTGGGGGCTTGAACTGCCAATTGTTTAAAGTCCAACTGAACCATCAATTTATGTTCGCTTAGTACATCCCAGGTGCATCAAAATAAAAAGGTGTTTAATGTCTTCCAGATCGTTGTTTTTCTAAAGTAGCCACAGCTTGAGTAGAAAAGCCTGTTTTGTGCCAGTTTACTGCAGAGTGGAACCCTGGCTCTCAGTGTGAAAACAGCAATTCCTCTGCTGGGGTTCCCCATGCTCCCGGATGAGTTACAGCCAGAATTCTCCAATCACCAAGGAGCATTAGATTTGCTGATTTCAAAGATATAGGTCTGACTCAACAGGGGACATGTTGGATCTCTTCAATATTACTACTGACTCTCACAGAGAGGGGAAAAAAAGGTCTCAACTCTGCAATTGGTGGTACGGGAAAGGTTTTTCTACTCAGTCTGTGGCCAATTTAGAAAGATAGCAAACTGAAAAACAATGAAAACCTTTTGTTTTGATGCACCTTGAATGCATTTAGGGTTCAATTGAGCTTTATCCCTTTCCTACCGGCTTTCCCTTAATAAGGTATGCATGCACGGAGGGCAGATCATGTGACCACTGTGACTTGCTGTCACAGTGGTCACATGACTGGTAGCCGGTCTGGCCGGCTACCAATCGTTAGTAAGGATAGAGAGCGGTCTTTGACAGCTGTCTCTGTGCCGGGAATGTGTGCTAAGCATGCACTCGGAGCAGAGAAATCAGCCAACAAGTGACACAAATGTGCTGCGTGTGGGCATTAAAGCCCACCCTTTTGCCACTGCTGCACATATGTGTTGAGCAGGTGCCAACAGGTTAAAGAAAGAAGCCACCTGGACTGTTTAATCTCAATATTTGACTTCTAATAAAGCCTTGTGTTACATAATCCGTACTACAGCTTCTATTAATGAAATGTAATCTATGAATGGAGGAGCTGGACAGGAAGGGCGGGCATAGTTGTGGACACTGCATGAGTGCCTGTCATTGTGCTCTCAGCTCTGTTAACCCACACTACATTGGAAGATTACAGCGTTGGGGTGCATATATATTTTAGGTCTCCTGAAATACACATTTTAGGTCACCTGCATACACATTTTAGGTCGCTGTAGTCAACTGAAGCCAGGGTCAGCTTGGGAACATATTTTTTCTTTTTAGAAGGAAAGACCGGTAAGGGCGACATCCAGGATTCCTTCATTACAGGTTACTTTATGTATATTAACCCATAGCAGCCAATCAGAATATATCTTGCATCAGTGTTCATTGAGCAGAATTCATTGTCATTGTTTTCTATGAGCATTCAAAATACTAATTATTGAACAAAGTCCTTTATGTTTAAGCATTACAAACTTAGGACACCCTGTGACATAGGATTGAAATACTACAACAGAGGCATCACTGCTTACATTTAACTTAATGAATAAATTATATGGGTTACTTACTTGTGATGAAAATTCAGTTTGTAGGAGCATTCTGGGCACAACCCTATAAGAAAAGCATTTAAATGTATCAGTCATAACATATTATAAAGAGAGAGTCAACTTCCTGTGCCTGCTACCAATTTGTCTTAGTAGTGAGGAAATTACAGTATTTTACAAGTATCTTTTGTAAAAATGTCATTTCTATTAATAAAGCGCGAGCGTGTGCGTGTGACAGAATATGAGCTAGGCCACTCATAGTCACTGTACCTTAAGGTGCTTACAATCTGATATCCCCAGCACAATCATACATGAACTGTTATACAAGAACCCATTTGTATTTGAACTCCTTGCCTGTTGTGCAGCTATTCTGAAATATTTCAGATAGTAGCCAATTGGTTAATTTCTTTACAAAAACAAACAAAAAGTACCTCTTCTTATCATTAAATGATCCTTTTCCTGATTTGTCACAGGAGGTGTAGAAGGACTACCCATTGCAACATATAGTACACTGAAGGCAAGATTAGGAACTGGCTTTAACTGGTAGATAGAAGAGTACATATATGTGCCGAAGAATCAGTAAACGAAAGCACTCAGCATGTTTCTCTCTATACTCCTGTACTTGGCATAACAGGTAGAATGGGCAATGCATGTATTTTTTGTCAAGGAGTATAACTTGAGAGCACAAACAGCAGAAAATGCACCAAGTATAGGATGAATTGGCAGGGGAGGACTAAGAACATTTGGCCTGGAGGACAAGCTCTTTCATAGTAGAGACAGTTTCCTGTGACTAAATAAAGTATACCATACAAAAATGTATATGCAAATTAGTGCAAAAAATGTGTCTATAACAACACATAAACAAGTGAATATAGAAAACAAATATAGTCCCATTCAGTGAAAATCTGTGTATCAGTGATACTATGCAACACAGCAAAAAGTGTCCAATTCCACAGTGTCAGGGTATCCAGTGAATACTCCGCCACCATTATGCACTCACCAGAATGCTACTGGTAATGGGAGAAATGATCGAAGATCAATCAATAAATTCACTCTTCAGAATCCATAGGACAAATGACCTCCTAGAAAAAAAAAACTCGCTACAGGGAGCCCAGAAAGCGATTCATAGTTCCTATCTGTAGGTTTAAAGTAGGATTTGGTAACAATTTTAGTGCCATCATTAATTAGAGTTAGATCGAGAAAGTTAATTTCTTTCTAGCTATATGAATGGGTTGAATTGATGTTTAAATAGTTATTATTCAGGGTACCAATAAAATTGCTCAATGATTCCTCATCCCCTTGCCATAAAAATATGACATCATCGATGTATCAACGATAAAATGTTAATTCAGGCCAGTCTCTAGAATAAATTTGGTCCTCCTCCCATCTAGCCATAAAAAGATTGGCCAGGCTGGGAGCAAATTTAGCTTCCATTGCAACCCTTCTAATCTGTAAATAAAACCTTTTGTTAAACCAAAAATAATTGCGAGACATAGTAAAATCAAGGAGTTTTAGTATAAATGACTTATGCATATCGTTGGTTTTCTCTGCTTCAGTGCGATAATATTCTGCTGCCTCCATCCCATCACTATGTCTGATGTTACTGTATAAAGGGGCAACATCAGCCATTACTAAAAATGTAGCACGAGCAGTAGTGATATTCTTGATTTCTTGTAAGACTTGTTTAGTATCTTTCAAAAAAGCTGGGGTTTCCGTAATGAAAGGTTGTAAGTAGACATCAATATATTCACCAGCTCTAGAAAGTAAAGAACAACTCCCCACTAATAAAAGGGTGTCCAGGGGGATGGACTGGATCTTTATGGCTTTTCGGCAGACAATACAGAACAGGTAATCTAGGAGTTGAGGGGCATAAAAAGTCCCTTTCTCTTTTGGTAATGACACCATCATTGTAACCAACTCTAATGAGCCTCTTAAGGTCTTTCTTATATATTAATGTAGGGTCTTTGGATAGAATTGTCCGTGAAACATGGTGGTGGTAGCATCATGTTGTGAGGATGATTTTCTTTAGCAGGAACAGGGAAGCTGGTCAGAGTTGATGGGAAGATGGATGGAGCCAAATACAGGGCAATTTTAGAGGAAAACCTGTCAGGGTCTGCAAAAGACTTGAGACTGGGGCGGAGGATCACCTTCCAGCAGGACAACTACCCTAAACATACAACCAGAGCTACAATTAAATGGTTTAGATCAAAGCATATTCATGTGTTAGAATGGCCCAGTCAAAGTTCAGACCTAAATCCAATTGAGATTCTGTGGCATGACTTGAAAAATGCTGTTCAATGACACTCTCCATTCAATCCGACAGAGCTTGAGCTATTTTGCAAAGAAGTATGATCACTCTCTAGATGTGCAAAGCTGGTAAAGACATACCCAAAAAGACTTGCAGCTGTAATTGCAGGAAAGGTGGTTCCACAAAGTATTGACTCAGGGGGCTGAATACAAATGCACACCACACTTTTCAGATATTTATTTGTAAAAAAGTTTGAAAACAATTTATCATTTTCCTTCCACTTCACCATTATGTGCCACTTTGTGTTGGTTTATCACATAAAATCCCAATAAAATACATTTACGTTTTTAGTTGTAACATGTCAAAATGTGGAAAATTTCAAGGGGTATGAATACTTTTTCAAGGCACTGTATGACTACAATGAACCCATTTTCTGATGGCTTCTTCCAGCAGGATAATGCACCATGTCACAAAGCTCGAATCATCTCAAACTGGTTTCTTGAACATGACATTGAGTTCACTGTACTCCAATGGCCTCCACATTCACTAGACCTTAATCCAACAGAGCACCTTTGGAATGTGGTGGAATGGGAAGATTCGCATCATGGATGTGCAGCCAACAAATCTGCAGCAACTGCGTGACGCTATCATGTCAATATGGACCAAAATCTCTGAAGAATGTTTCCAAAACCTTGTTGAATTTATGCCATGAAAAACGTAGGCAGTTCTGAAGGCAAAAAGGGGTCCAACCCGGTATTAGCAAGTTGTACCTAATAAAGTGGCCGGTGAGTGTATATCAAATTAAAGTCCAGTGCAGCATTCACCAGATAAATTAAGTGAAAATATTAGTGCAATTTGTAAAGTGCAAATGTGCAAACACTTTCCAGGCTGCAGCAACCACAGTGCTATGGTCCCCTTCAATATTCCCCCACTCACACGCAATGACCCTTAAGCTAAGCAATAAGAGTCAAAATAGGCTTGGATAAGAGTATCTTAGGCTTAGGCTCTGTTTCTCTCAACACCGTCCAAACACCGACAACAGACACCACAGCCAACCATACAACACTAGATGACACCATTCTTGAAGTAAACCAGAAGGAAGACTAGTTTATTTGAAGACTGATGCAAGATATATACACTCAGGGGACAGTCCCCACTCCCTGCATAATGACACAGGGCTGGGGCAATCTACATTTAGTAACAAGAGACACACAGGTATTCCAACTTCACACCAGCAGACAGTCCCATCAGGAGGGAGGGCTGCTGGAGACACCCCCAACTAAGCTAATACACATAAACACATACATCCCATAATAGTTTGCTCCCAAGCCAGACAGACAATAGAACAATGGGATGCAGCCACATAACAGTAAACAATCAACAACCCCCCCACCCCAATATTAGGACAGATCACCCTGTACCCCTAACAGGCACAGGGTGATTTACACATAAGAGAGATACGGGGAGCTGAGACAGGGGTCTCCCCACCTCTCCAAAGTAAGCTGGGTTCCATGGGCCCCCCACCCAAAGTGACACCTATCACAAGATCTACATAGCATAATTTCATTTTTGTTATGATCAAACCTTAAAACAAGTTACACTCTCAAAAACAGATGTATGAAAGGCAGAAAATGCTGGAGTGTAAATGCTGCCATGGTGTGCGTTCCACCGGTCGATCATGACATCACTGGAAGTCCCCACTTAAAGCATTTCACCCCTCCCACAGGGCATCTTCAGAGGGGCGAAACGCATTAGTGGGGACTTCCAGTGAAGCCACGTTGGGGCAGTGCAATGCAGGCCACGGGAGTGTTTCCAGTCTGCCATTTCCTGCCTTTCATGGGGAGTGTAACTTGTTTTTAAGATCTGATTAAAAAATAGAATTATGCCATTTAGATTTCTTTTGCTATCCTCTCTACATGTAATGAGTAATATTCACAAGAGAGACCATAGCACAGGTATATAGAAAGCACTGAATATCCACCAGCTGTCACTGACTAGGAGTCCTGCTTGCTCTAATTGATGTTTGGATGGTGAAGTATTTCCACATATTCTTTTAGTACTGCCCTTTGTCCCCGAGCCTTATACAGTGAGACCTCTGTACATTCAATCCCAATCAACAGCTAATGTTCAAGATTGGGTGATCTTTTTTGACAAAATGGTAATGGATTCAAAAAGAAAGTGAAGCAAGGTAGTCTCAAACAATTTGAGGCATAGCAATATGCTAGAGAGCTGAAATACAACTAATGGGTCTCAAAAAAAACTGTTAAATAACTCATGAAGAAAGCATTACAAGCAGCTAGATGAGACTAAAGTGCACTTGGCATAAAATTCAGGTTCTTCATAGTTATGAAATAATTAATGTTATTAATATAGTAAAATACCCATTGTGTTCCTGTCAACCCAGGAGAGGCTAAAGGCGTAGGAATCTAATAGTTACGATGTCTGCTGTTCACAATGACCTAGGATGAAAGCAAAATTGTTATTTTTGGGTCTAGGGGTCTCAAACAGTTTTGTCAGACAACCCCAAAAAACTTAATTTAAGCCACAGTGCACTGTGAAGACAGTGAAGCATGGTGGCGCAAGCATCATGATATGGGGATGTTTCCCATACTATAGTGTTGGGCCTATTTATCGCATACCAGGGATCATGGATCAGTTTGAATACATCAAAATACTTGAAGAGGTCATGTTGCTTTATACCGAAGAGGAAAATGCCCTTGAATTGGGTGTTTCAACAAGACAACGACCCCAAACACACCAATAAGGGAAGAGCATCTTGTTTCCAGACCAACAAGATTAACGTTATGGAGAAGCCAACC